CCCTACAGAGGACTGAGCTATGGCAAAATGTGGGCCACTGGAGACAAATTCTGTCTGCAGACTTGACCAGAGCAGGGAAATGTGAAGACCGGCTTTTAGAGTAACATCATCTTATTTCTATAGTGTAGTTTCGAAGTGCTGTAGCACTGAGAGGTTATTTGCGATGAAACTCTGTATTTTAGCAGCAGTGCAGGCTACATACATGCGGTAGTATGAGAGCAAGTTTATTCCTGCAGCCCCTTGGCCTATACCTTTCCTCTGTCCCTCCAGCTGCTCAAATGCCATTTTCCTCTCTTCCCAGAGTTCTTCCATGTCTGCTTCTGGTAATGTAAGGATTATTCTAGGGTTGTATGAACTCTGACTTTTAAGTACCTGAACTTTTGAAGAGGTATTGTCTGAAATACGGGCTTTACACCTGAAATGTGGTGTAGAAGGCTCAGAATCAGATTGCTTTTGAACAATCTGAGTCGTGAGTTGGCAGTAGTGTTAGCTCTAGCTGCCCGAAAGCTCTCAGATCTGTGCTGTCATCTTGGTACACATTTCAGCAGTCTCCATCTGCATTACATACAAACAGACAAACATACCATTTGATTCTAGGCTTATAGTAAATTTATTAAAATTCAAAACCTTCCATTAGTAGAATTTATCAATTTTAAAAATATAAGACATTTACATATACATAGTTCTTTAGGGCAGGGAGTTCCTATGAGTTTGTGAAATACAGATTCCAGACATGGTTTGTTCTTTCTCATTCAGAGAACAGCAAAGGAAAAAGTAAAACAGTTGTTTCAGATTTGTCTCGTATAAGGGTGAAACTGAAGTAACTTCACAGAAGTCAATAGGTAGGATAAGTCTTCCCTGGTACAAGGCTGAACAGGGTTACATTCATAGAGTTACCCTGAACTACTCCAGGTCATCCCTTGGTGAGAGTATCCATACATCATCGTGGACTGAGCTAATAATGCAATACAGTGTATAAAAATAGAAGGCCTAAGGATCATCTTCTGAATATTGCACTGATGAGGTGATAGCCTGAAGCATGAGATTAATTTACTTATAGATTATATAGGCATGAGTAACCATTAAATTATACAGCACCTTCTTAAACCTAGTACTCAATGCAGAATATTCTGACCTCCATTGAGATGGAGGTCCGCACTCATCCAGTTCTGTGGGAGGTCATCCTCTTTCCTACAGTATGTGAAACTATCTGTCATTCACCTTTAAATACCATACTGGTCAGGACAGAAAGGATGAGAAGATCTCTACATTCAGTTGTAAATAAATATTTCAAGCATTTCAGAAAATAAACAGTGTAACAGAGTCCAGCTATAAAGTGAAAAAGTCAGCAGACGTTCAACCAGTGATGAACAGATTCTGGTGAGTTCATGTTTGTTCAGAAATTTTATTGCCAAATAATAAGTAGGAATTAAAAGCAGATACTAAGGTTTTCTTCCTTGTAATGTGCAGCACTGATGATGATTCTGTTTAGTTGGCCTTACGTGTTTGTCTAGGAGATTTGCCTTTGGTGGTATGTTTCTGGTCTATTTTCTTTATAGCAAACTGTACCCATTTCTGATCAGGGCTTACGCAGGTCTTGATACCTCTTGCGTCAATAAACCTGTAGGAAGAAAGAAAGCAAACCAGGCAGCCATTAAATTCCAGTCTCCAAACACAGGTTTACTGTTCTTGGGTCTTATACAGAACACAGGGAACAATGTGGTAAAACCATATCAGGTTCTGGAGTTTGTAGTTGTTAGTTAGAAAAACAGCAACGTTAGTTTCCTATTTATGGCATAGGTATTTATGTACCATATGTGGTCATGTGCATATATTCTGATATTTAAAAAAAGGAATATACCTGGTATTCTGAGATTTTATAAGAAATCATGATGTACGTTTACCTCCCAGGAGCAGATCCCAGATTTGATAAAAATGCATGCTTGTGAGATCAAAAGACCAAATACAGCTCCTAGCAGGAGTCAGAGTTACCCCAAACTTTTCCACATGATCTTTCCCCTTGGTTCAATTCAGTGCACTGGGCTTCTGACTGCTCCACCCTGACCCCTTGCTGAGATTTTTTCCCCACTTTCTGGGCACAAAAGATCTGGTTGCTCAGTGATATTTCTGCCAGCGTCTGTGAGCAGCACACGTCTCCTAGCTCTCTGGGGTCCACCCCTCATTTCCTCAGCTGCCAGGTGACAGTTTCATGGGGGAACTGGAAGGGTGACCTGAACTAGCCAAATTATTTAGTGAATTGGGCCATGAAGTGTCTTCTGATGCCCTTTCCCTTTTTGATGGTAGTGTGTTTGGATAGATAAGTCTGAAAGTGAACTGTGCTCTGGATACTAACATGATGGCCTTTGTTGGAAATTCTTGCTTTTCATAGTTGACAAGATTTCGGATGTTCAGTCTCTGCGTAGACAGCTCTACACAACTGGATTTGTGCATGGACTGACTTACGATGCTCCCTAGAAGGGAAAAAACAGGTAAATGACAAAGGCAGTTGATACTATATTCATATTTAGCCATAATTACATACTAAATTATGAATTCCAGCAGATTTCTAGTTGTGGTTAGAACATGAGTGTCTCAGGATGTACAGCCACAATACCAGTGATACAAGAGAGCTTAAGATATCTTTTGTGATGCATCCTACCATCTCTAAAGTGTTACTGCTGTTTCAGTTAATATATTAATCTTCACCTGTTCTCCTGAACAATTGTGTAATTATTCTGCTCCTAGGGAATTGCTGCTTCCATAGAGAAAAGTTATTTGGCATCATTTATAATTAAGTCTGTATCATCATCTGCACATAAGCGTCCATACGGAGTAGTGCTTAGAACCGGCACCTTTACTGGGTGGATTTCCAAATGTCAACTGAATGTGGATCAGTAATTCCCTTTACTTTCCCAGTGAAGGAAAGGAAAGCAAGGCTACTTGTCTCACACTGGACATCTAGAACTAGCATTAAAAAAACAATTGTTGAAAGAAAGGGAGCTATATCTGCCAGAAGACTAAGTACTTGCGTACTCTTCCTATAAGCCTTGTTTGATAGGCAACGGAGTGTTATGTAATCCTCGCTTTCCTCCAACATTTTCATACATTTCAGGGAAATGCATTGGTGATTAATAAAGAGGATCACGATATCGGTTTAAAATTCTTTGGGCAGTTGTTACCTTACATGATGATAACTAAAAACAGGAGCTCATTTAAGTGAGATGGAGTATATGTATGCATTACTGGAAGCCTTGGCTTGCTAGTTTCTGGTTTTCTCCCACCCATCAAAGACAAGTTTGGGAAGGCATGAGGGGGACAAACAGAACACTGCTGTATTCTGAGGTTTCTTTTTAAAGAATCTGTAGAGAAATCGGCTTGAGAAAAGTCCGAGTGCTGTTCGGGTACAACTTGCTAAACATAAAACCTGCTTCACATAATCTCATAATCTGTGAGCTTCTCTTTGTTTGAAATAATTGGCATAGCTGAGGCAAACACGCATCAACCTTTGGAGAAGCTGTAGCATAGCCAGTGCACAGGTACTGGCAGAACAGCTAATTCTTGAGATTTTGTTTGCCTGAAGGAATATCTCTTCTAATCTTGCTTTAGTCATGAGTAAACATGATATATTTTTTGATGATTTATTACAAATACGTATCTTACTGCCTTACTCAGATTCGTTTTCAAAATATGGCGGTAAAGAGCTCAAAGATAGTCAAGCAATCCTTACTAGTCCTGGAAATATTTTCTCTACTACTAAACTATTTCTAGGGAATGCATGCAGGGAATACCAGCAGAGCTCCTCTAAGCCTTGGAATAAACCCAAACTGCTCTGCACCTATAACTACACTTTTTATGGGTTTGTTTTGTTCTGGGTTTTTTTGTTTGTTTGTTAATCATTCTTTTTTCTAATCCTTTGTCTATCCCTTGCACACCACCTCAGTGTGCTTTTTCAGACTTGGTGATATTTTTGACAAATTATAGAACCCGGAGAATGACATTATGAACTGGCAGTGTGTGATATGAAGCCACATGTTGATGCGATGAACAGCAGTAGCGTTAATCAACATATGAGAATGCAGTTTGATCTGGCTCTAGGGGCACTAGGTCGACATAGTGTGTAGCTACATAATCTGCTGAATGTTTAGCAGGTCTCAGTTTGGTTTTGGTGTGGTTTTGCGAAGATGCCTTTTCTGTGTGCTTCTCTTTGCATATTTTTGTGGGTTTGCATATGGCTTGCGTATGAGCGTTTTCTGTGATTTTTATGCGCTTGTTTGCATGAACCTGATTGTGTATAAGATGACACAATCTTATGCGTTGTGTTCATGTTTTCACATGGTACGCATAGCCTAATCCAAAAGTCACAGACCTAAACATCACTGTAGACAAACTTATTTAAAGCATGGCTAATAAACGTGGCTTATCTCAGTGCTCATAAATGGTCTCAAGTAAGATGTTAAATTGTATGAAATCAGGAAGAGAGAGAAGACATTCTATAAATCCATTGCAGTCCCTTGTAGATTTTGTTCATAGTTTGCCTATTTGTTCCAAAACATTTGGCTAGAAATTAGCAACTAGGCAGTATGCGATACAGAACCAGAAGAACTTTTAAAAATAGAGACATTAAAGGGATTAAGGCTATATAGTTAAATACAAATAACATAAAAAATACATTTAAAAGTAATATATCTAATAAAAAAGTACATCTTATTAAAGAAATATTTTTGATAAAATGTTATTAACATACAGAACTTGTTGCTATATGGCATCAGTGAGATCAAAAGACATTATGTCTTTAAGATTTCATGATTTTAAGAGAAAGAATAATGCACAGAAACTCTCCTTGTATTAATGCAGAAGCCAACCACTAATTGACAGGACATCAGATGAAATCTCCTGTAAAGCTGCCTTTCTTGCGATTCTGATCTGGATTTCTTGCGAGTTTTATCTTACGAATCAGCTCTGGCTGAGAATGAATCCTGCTCATCAGACCACTAGTGCAATGTGGAGCAATTCCTGTCTTCTTCTTGGGTTGTAAACTTACCTTTCACCGTGTGCACAGTGAAGATGCCAAGCCAGAAGATGACGAAGATTGCTGCAGGTTGGAGTTTCATTGCTGGTGGCTTCTTTGCCAAGGCAGAGAAAGTGGCTTATTGTCGGCCCCTCTCACAGAGTTTATATATCGTCATTCAGTGGTCAGTTTTTGTGTTCACTTTTGGGGCGTCATGGTGGGGCTGACTATAAGTGGAAAAAATTGAGTGGCAGTACTGTTTCTGGTGACAAGAGAACCACCTTCTTTCCCCCACCCGTCCTTCACTAGCCCCCCTGTGAAGGCTCTTCCTGCTCAAACCCTGCTGTGGTTGCACTTGCTTCTGTGTTGCGACTAGGGGTTGTTTCAAGCTGCAAAAAGTGAGAGCTCCTGTTCTGTAGTGGAAACCTTTAATAAATGTTCCTGTCCTTTGACACCTCGATTTAGAGAGCCGTAGCTAAGCTGCACCGCAGAGGCACAGAGTAGCATTCAGAGTTACCTCTTTGACCAATGGACCACTTAAAAGGGGAACTGTGAGCTAAACAATGATGGAAACAGGAACGCCTTGGCATTTTCCATAGTGGCTGTAGATTGCTGGTCACTTTAACGTGGTAGCTTTGGGGGGATATCACTCCTATTTCCTATGTGTGGTGGAGCTTGTCAAAACTCTTCTGTTTTCCCCATGATTTAATATAGCCAAAAATGATAGCACTACGTGCTGGGAGAAGGAAGAGTGAATACACTTTTACATACAGACCCAGATCCACTACTCCTCCTGCCAGTCAGGCATAACTAAAATACAATGGCTTCAAAGAGGAATAAGAGTTTATAAAGTATATACTTTTTTGTGTGTGTGGTGTGGTGTTGTCTCTCTAGTATAAAGAATGGAGCCCAAGAAAGTAACCAGGTATTCAGACAGGCACAATTTATAGGAATGAAGAAAAAAGTTCATTGCACTTCCATGTAAACCTGGTGTTGATAATAGGTCTGCAACTTGTTCCAATTGTACCTCTAGCAAAAGCTTCCTTTTTTGCAGTCTGTGCTAGTCCTATTACCCAGTTTTAGGTGTCCTTTCTATGTTCTGCTAAGGTGATCTGAGTTACTGGACAGCATTGCTACCTGCCTGCAGTTTTGCACCTGCGAGTATTTTTTCAAGCAAGCTGTGGACCTCCAAGCCACGTGTGAAGCAGCACCTGAGCTGGCTCCATTGTCCACAGCCTCTGAGCAGAAATCTCCTCTCATGCTTTACACTCTGGAGCATTTCTGTGCCCAGTAGAAAAAGCCATGCTTTGCTAGGTGCACAGATACCCATCTGGGCCTGGTGTGAATAAGTAAGCACCAGGTTGCCTGATGCATGAGATTGTAAGGCAGTGGTGCAGAGTAAGTGTCAGTGCAAAGCCTGGAGCAAGTGTCCATTTGTGCGTGTCTGAAGTTTCCCCTGCTCTTACCTCCAGGCCTCGCCTCAGCTGGTTACTTCCAGTTTTCCAAATTCTTGATAACATCAATGTAAATTGCTTTGCATGGGGAAACGCAGCATGTGGAAGTCAATTCCCTAAGATTCCTCAGGCAAATTAAGATTGAGCTAAGAATTGAGCTCAAATACTTGATTCCTAGGCTGTCATGGCTGGTCTGTAACCTCAGGAACAGTCTGGCACGTCTTGCAGTTAAAAGAACACGCTGTTTGGTTTACTTGTATATACAGACATGTTCTTTGCTCCTTTTGGTTTGATTCTTTCATCTTCTGTATACCATGCCCCCTACAGAAGAGCAATGGCAAAAGTAGACAGTAAGCAGTTGTAAGGTACTTGCTGCTTTACCTGAATGTTTGCTAAACCCACTTGCAATCCTAATGTAAGTTGCAATGAAATGGAAGCCAAAGCTTCAACGTAAGCCCCTAAAGGACATGCCTGATGCCACACAGGGGAGTAACTGTACTGATCTCAGCAGCACTACTGGGAAATCTATGTGTCCAAGCAGTGTAGTAGCCTGGTGTTTTGCTGACCATTGCCTGAAATCACTCCTTGGATGAGATATTCTCAGTTTTTGGTACTTGGCAGCTTTGAGATGCAAGATAGCAACTTTTGTCATTAATAGTAGAGAGAAGTTCCCATGAAGAGAGAAGATGCTCCCCCGCTTCTGCTAACCGATACAGTATGTACATGTATATACCATGTGTACAGCTTTGAGAGGAAGGGTTGCCAGCTGTATTGAGCATGAACCAGCTCAGAAAAAGTCAGTCCTTCCCACAGAAGGTTGTAGATTCATCCCTGAGGTGTGGTTAGAAATCCTGTTGCTTCTTCAGTTTTCCACCATTCTTAAGGTAGGATGGAAAAATTGCACTATGGCAAGTTTTTCCTCTCTTTGTAGTTCTCATTTGCTGTGGCCTCCTGGGCTGTTGTCTGTGTAGCTGGCTTATGCCCAGTGAAATCTGTGTTTTGGAGAAGAGTTTTGTGGGCTGGAGTCCCACAGTCTTATCTGTGGATATTTGGTGATCTCTGATGTTGTATAAGGCTCATTTTGCATGCACTCTAACACCAGTGTGCACTGCCTCTATGCTGTGGCAAAAGCTTAGTGCAAGACGATCAGAAGTATGGTCTTTCTGTTTTCTTGCTGGTAAGTCATATTAAAAAGACAACTAATAAGTGCCCAAAGTACTTTTCCTATTACTGCTTCTCAGCTCTGGATAAGTTGAATGCTAATGATACTTGTCCTGGGGCTTGACTGCCTTTTGTGTTGAACACTCATCACAGGCTGCTTTCAAAGCATTCTGGAGTAAAATGATCACTTGCAGCTTGTGATACATCCACAGATGGTATGATTATGGAGTTCTCTAAGAGTTTGTAAAGTCAGAATTGTGGATAAAGATGACTAACTTTACCATGATGCTTCTCAAACCCTTGGCTACAGGTATGATGTTATGTGTCGCATGAGAGCTGCCCCTTCTCCTCCCCTTGACATCTAATGTTTCACCCATGCACTCTTTTCCAAGAGAAACCGGGTGCAGACAATGAATACTGCATGCATGGGTGTGTAGACGTATCAGTATTTAACCTTTGGAGCCTGCTCACGTGCAGAAAAGCACAGGCTTTGAGTTAGTCTTCTAGGCTTTGCAGACAACATGGGACACGCAGCCCTGGGAGAGGACAGCAACAGCAAGCTCCTGCTTGAGGAGGAGTTCAAGGGCTCTCCTAAGCCCTTCAGCCCCCGTTCATGCAGGGCAGCCTGCCTCCGTTTCACCCATACAGCAGCCGGGGCACCGAGAGGTGAAGGGACACGTGAGACTGCTCGTGCACAGCAAGAGGCAAAGTCAGGGCCTGCTCTAGCACAGGGAACCAACTGCTGAATGCAATAGTTTTCTTAATTTTTAACAAGGTCAAGAAACTTTTACTTAAATAAATGTTGCATATACCCCGTTTCATGTCAGCAACCCTGCCAAATGAAAAGAAACATGCAGTGAGCAGAACCTTGGGCCTAATATCAGAGTTTACTTACCAGAGTAAAGAGTCTGAAGTATTTTATCTTCTCATACTGTAGTTAGCTTTCAAAAAAGAGAGGCCATGATCTTCACAAATAAGTAAATTCTTATGCACTCCTAGAAATTAGTGTCTTTGGTGAATGTTCAGCAGCCCCTTGAAGATACGCTAGCAGGTCACTATCACTTTTGAAGACTAAATCAGGGCATTCAGTGACTTTAAGAGGGGACTTAAGAACTTCAGCTTAGATCTGTATCTCAGACAACTGTTTTTAAGGTAGGAGATACATGTCTGTGTCTATTATCTACAGAAGCAACATAAGCATGTATCTGGTGCCGGACAAGGTAAGTGAGCGAAGTTAGGTGGGATAAATCTGACCCTAAGGTATTCTGGTTTTGCATTGCTGCTTAACAGTTGAAGTACTGGTTTAAGAATTACCAGCAAGTGGTATCCAGCTGTGATGTTTACATGACTTTCCTCCCCCCCTTCTTCCTTTGCTTTTCATTACTTTTGCTCTGTAGATTTCATAATGATTTCATAGGTGCTTCTGGCTTTTAATTTCACTTTCTTACTGAAATTGCTGTTGTCCTTCTATTTGTGCCTTCCCACCAGGCTTGTTAGGTCATGCTCCATAGTTCAGCACAGCTTAAACTATTTACTTTTAAACTCACATCTGAATTTTTGCCTGCTAAGCAGCACAAATTAGATGCATAACAAAGACCCACTGAAGTCAGTATCCCACTTTAGTACCTGTTTACTTTTTTTAGTTAGATCGGTGCATTGAAGTATGGTCAGTTAACAGCTGATGACAGAATTAGTGTGATTTAGGAAGTTTCTCTCCCTCACCTGGAAATAGCAGTTTATGTTCAGTCTTTTTCATTCATATTGTAATGGAGTAAAGACACAGGTTTGATGCTCACATCTCAGCTGAGAGACAAGACTTTTAATCTAATTTGATCACTTAAACCACATTTTTAATAACAACTCTGCTTTTGGCAGAACTCCTTTAGAAATGTAGCAATAATTAATCATAATAGAGCTTTTGCTTTTAGACCAACTGTTCCCACTACCATACTGCCAGCTTTTCCCTGGTCCTGCTAACATGGGATACAATCCCCTCGATTGTATCAAGTGCTCTTAAATAAGTTAGTTGTATTGAAATTTTTCCTTTAATCACCCAACTTGAACCATTCAGATACGTAAAATCAGATTGAGAATGATTTGGTTTGAAAGGGACCTTGAACCAAACATACAAAGGCTAGTCTACAGTCAACTCTACAGTCAGCTGTATGCAGACAAGCACCTGTTTTGCTAATGTTTTAAGCTGACTCGACATGAATGTGGCATTCTCCGTACACAAGAGGTCTTTGGTCTTTCTTTCATTCAGTGTTGTTCTGGGTTTTTTTTTGTTGTTTTTCTTTTTTTTTTTTTTTCAATGAGCATTTATACAGTCACTCAAGAGTTTACAAGAGGAAGACACTGATCTTCCTCTTTATAATTGTAGTCATGTCTGGTTTGGCTCTTTGAGAGATGCATATCAGGAAGCTAACTAAACAGCGTGCAATGCTATTGCTGCAGAGAACCACAGAGGTGACTGTAGCTCAATTCTGTG